CGTGGAATTTGCACCCTATATTCTGCTGAACAAAAGGTAAAATGTAGCTGTTAACTTGAAAACTACCGCTTCATGACATGGAACAGAGCATTTTGAGCTTCGGAAATATAGACAGCCTACAAATAAAGGGTTATTCAAACATGGGTGAATGAATCAAAACACAACTCCAGGTATGTTTGTGAGGAGTAAACAATGTTCTAACATGGCTAAAAGCTCACAACAGCCCATACACAATGTTAAAGGAAAACTAATATATGATATGTTCAAAGTTTAAAAATTTTTTTTTTATAGCTGTATAATTCTTTCTCCAATTCTTAAAAGTTTAATGAAAAATCTATGAAATTTACAAATGAATGGTAAATGTAAAAATGTATCTATAGGATTAGGCAGAAAAAAGTAAACATATATGGCTAATTGTGCTTACTTATATTTGTGATCTAAAAATAATTACACAGTGGTGTCCATATTTGCATTACATTGAGCCTAAAAGTGCACTCCTTGAACAGAGTAAGTTTGTTTTGCATGTACCTGGTAACCATTATAGAGAGCTGGCCGAGAGCTGGACAGACCATTGAGGCTGTACAGGTCTGAAGAAGCATAGGAAGTCTGCAATGGGACAGAGGCAAAGACAATAAAGAAAAACAGCAGAATGAAAGAGAAAAAAGGAGAGGAGGAACTTGAGACAGGAAGAGTAGTTTACGACTGCACTCTGAGGTAGTAAAAATGTGCCGTAAAACTAAAAACTCCAAATATGGGGCTGGATTGACCAACACAGGTTTAAGTAAAAGGTTAAGCTGACCAGTATTGTGCTTACAGATCAGAGAATAACTAAATTTAACAGTGGTTTTGTTTAAAAGGGCACCTGCTTTTCTCCAATGAAATCTCATTGCTTTGCCAAGAATGCTCCACAGTAAAGCATTAAATGTAACGCACAAAAACGCATTACACAACATGTACTTTTACAGTGGGGTCTCCTCTCCACAGATCTGACCTGTAACTTGGTCTTGGTGGTGATCGATGTAAACTGATTATTTTAAAGAAATACTGGGACATTTCAAGCAATGCAATAATATTTCCATGAGTACAAGCAGTTTGCAGGCCTTCTACCAGAAATGTTATATGATATGATAAAATATTGACATAATATTGTAATAATTCTGTATTTAACATAGAAATTGATTATCTGATTGTTTCATATTGTGTAGATCTATTTATAGCCATTTAAACAAAAACTTCAGACAACAAAAGCTATTTACAATGGACTGTTTTGGCTGGAGCTGAGGTTTAAAGGGACTAAACCACTTAAAGCTAATAGCGCAGTCAGTCGTATTTCCTCAAACAAAAGCAAAGGTTAATCCTGTCACAGCTATGTATAGGATATTACTTACTACTACTTAACTGATGCTCAAACACATGGCTACAGCTAATATGGGTTTCAGCTTCTTGTTACATCTTGATGACTTTTCGCCATTATTATTATTTTGTCTGAAATTGTTAATTGCTCTGGTAGCAGTCCTAGTTTTTTTAATCATTCTGAAACCCATAGACACGTCTAAAAATTGGGTTATCTATTCCATACTAATCTTAGCCTATGTTCACACTCTTGTCCTGTTTGATCTCAGTTTAGGCCTGATGAAGTTTGGTCTTGTTCTAATTTTGGTTTAGTTCTGGTTTAATCCAAGTTTAGTTCTGTGTTTAGTCCCATTGGTGTACTATGTAACTTTTCTTGTGGAGGGTCTGTCCCCTGCTAGTTTTCATTATGATATTATGACCATTTATTTATCTCCATGGAGACAAGCAAATTAGGTCAGGTCAGACCTATCTTCAGATCTGTGTATTTTAATGCCATACTGTTTAACATTTCAAGTAAAGCAACACCATCTGCATGGAGACAAGCAGGTGGAGAGGCCAGAAAAGTTATAGAGCACCTTTAAGTCACAATTTTAATGGTGGAGAGTCCAAGTGTATCCAGAGCCTATGTAATGTTTTTGTCATGTCAACTGACTGTAATGTATTACAGTTTATTCATATCTTGCATTAAGTTGTAGGTTATAATAAATGAGTTGATTTGTACATTTCTCATGCAGGGACCCACCGGCTGCAGGTCTAATCTGGAGGATCGGGAGGCTCTGCTCTCGTCTAGAACGGAGCTCTGAGTGACAACAAAGTATAATATCAGTCATTCATCATAACTAAACAAATCACAACAAGTTCACTTTTATTGACGGATGCAAAGAAATCAAATAATAAATTAAATATTTTACATTTTCATCTGGTAATAATTTGTGTCTTTAGCTCTTTGGTCATTCTTGTTGTTTTGTTAAGTACTATACAAATAAAATTGGAATTGTATGTCTATATATTTAAAAAGGTACTTGTTTAGCCGGGATAGTCAAACTGAGATTTGGGAAAACTTGTATAGATACACAGAGAACATGTAAACTCCACACAAAAACTTCACACTCAACAGGGGAATCAAACCCATGACCTTCTTGCTGTGGGGCTGAAGCACAAACCACTATGCTACTATTGAAATGACTCAATGTAACTGTATCCACAATAAACTACTGTTAATGTTTCAAAGCCACACAGAGACATTGAACGCACCGTTAAATCTAGCCTTGAAGACCGAGACATTCTGCTCTCATCACTCAGTCTCGAGCTCTATGTTCAGAGATACAGGAAAGCCATTGGTTTAGCTCATTTTGTACAATCATGCATTCAAATCATTAAAATTTCACACACAGCTACTGACCCTGCTGGACATGACACTGTAATCATCGTCATAGCCATTTCTCTGTAAATGAATGGGAAAAATGCGAAGTAAGTAAACCAAAGTAACAGTTTATAAGGCGATATTTAGCACCACACACATGCGCTTGTACATACATCTTTGTCTTTGTGCTTATGTTTCTTCTTTTTCTTTGACTTCTTATGTGAATATGGGGAGTCCTTTGAAAGAAATACAACAACTGCTACATGGGTATGATAAAAACTGAATGTAAATGCAAGCATGCAGGCAAAACACCACCAATGTTCTGAATACAAAAATATCCACACAGAATCATTCAACAGCAAAAATTCACAATAGTTTTTAAGGGTCAGCAAAAGTGACAGAAATTAATGTGCTAAATAGGGCTAAACATGCTTGTAATAATCTTGAGAAACAGAACTTATACTTTCAGAGATTTTAAACAGCCCTTTTTAAAGATAGTATTCTCAATATTCAAATTTTCTATAAATCAACAAGTTCAATATTGATTTCTCACTAGGGCTCTACAATATTGATACTGTGATACTGACTGATGCAATAATCAATATCACAACATATTCAGTTTATCACAATAACACCAAGGTTCTCCATCTGACAAATATGAACAGTTTTTAATATATTAAATAAAGCTGATTTTATTCATGATTTTCCTTCCAAAAGTCCAAAATTAGCTTTGATTTAGTCCTGGCTTTGTCTCTGTTAAGTTTTTTATTTTGACTCTGCTTTCATTAGTAAATTAAAGCATGTCTTTTTTTTTTGTCATAACTGAAATTACGGATTCAACAAATATATTAAATATTGCAATGATATCGAAATCGCAGTTTTTAACAGCCATATATTGCAAAATGTTCCAATACTGTGCAGCCCTATTTCTTATCTCTCACCGTTGCTTTGACATTTAAGGTTTTGCACACACCAGCAAAGTGTTATTCAACTCAAAGTTAAAATGTTACAAAAACCCAAAAACATTTCACATCCCAAGTTAGAAGTGAAATCACCACATACTCTGATAAGACATTTGTTCAGTACTCCATTAAAATCAGCCCCTTTCTTCTTTTTCTTCACTACATTAACACCAAGAAGCAGCACACGTCATTAAACTGTTAAGACAAATCTCTGTTGGAATTTCATTAGTTTCCATGCATTAGTCCCCATCACATCACAGCAGGTCTTTGATTAGAGGCTCTTAAACCCGAAGTCTTACCCCTCCTCCTGCATAGGCCCCCACTATGTCCAAATCAGACTGTACAAAACACAGCGTCATTAACAAGAGAGATGTACCAAAAAGTAGATCTATTTATAAGGACATATTGCCCTCGTAACCAAGAAACAAATCAATGAATTCAATGGAGACGAATGGACAAGCAATTGGCCAAACGGTGAAATCATTTATTTAAGGCAAGACACTGCAGATAAATAAGATCTGATACTTTCATAGAAGATTCCAGGCATCCACAAAAATTAAAAATGTATCTGGAGTTTTAGGTTGTATCATGAATACAAAATCATATGCAATTTTCTTATATTGTTGTTTCCTCATCACAAAAATATCTAGAGTTGTGTTTTTTTTTTTTCCATAAATGTTTAACACACAAACCCTGCATATTTAGGCTGAGTTTTTCTCTAAAAACACCTTGTGATGTCATGTGGTAATAGGGGAAGTGTTCCACAGTGTTTAAACTCCATATACATACACCAGAATCATTTGGATAATTTCAGCCCTGGAACTGCCTGTCTCTACTGAACTAAAAGTAAAACGTAGCTGTTAACTTGAAAACTACCAATGCATGACATCACAAGGTGGAACAGAGCATTTTGTGCTTTGGAGGTGTGGACAGACTGATAATAAAGGCTTACTCAGATACGTGTGAATGAAACAAAGAGCAACTCCTGGTATGTTTGTGATGAGGAAACAACATTGTAACATGGTTTAAAGCTCATATGAATCAATTTTGCATAATATAGGACCTTTAAATTATAAGTATCAATATTATTTTGAACATTTATCAAAGGTAGTTTGGATTTGCTTTTTTAGATAATGCTGCAAAACAAGGAAATAAAGGAACTACTCTGAAGACTGGAATTTTTTGTTCTTGCTACTTTAGGTGTGATTTAATAAGGGTTAACAATAAACAATATTACTCAAAGAAAAAAAAAAGATAGATAAAAAGTGTAAAAAATCTCCTGCAGTGTCTTGCCTTAAAATTTGTTAAAATGTGATACTGACCCGGACACTGCCCCGACTGCCCACAGACATCCGCTCATCTTCATCTGAGAGCTGCAAGAGACAAAATAAAAAACATTTAGTTTAAGTACAAAATAAATCCCCCCTTATTATTTTGTATCTTAATGAATCAACTTATCAATTCATAATTATGCAACAAATATGTTTTGCCTATAAATAAATACAGATTTAATAGTTTTAAGTACTTTTAACAGCAAACAATTATAATAACTAATATTAAAACCTTTCAAAATATGAATCCTTGTCTGTTTTATGTTGGAGAAGAGGATGAAAACAAAGAAAAAGTATGAAGAGATGATGGAATGCAGGAGGACTACAAACCGTGTGGATTCGTGACGATCTTGTGTACCTCTCACTGTCCTCCTGAACGAGGGAACGAGGAGACAAGGAGACAAGGAAACAAGGAGAGTAGGATACAAGGAAACAAGGGAACAGGGAGATAAGGAGATAGGGAGGGGACAAGGAAAGAAGAGAGGATGTGAACAAAAAACAAGATGGCAGAAGTCAAAAGGTCTACAACAAGACAGATGATAGACAATGAGTTCATGGTTCTAGTAGTAGTAGTAGTAGTAGTAGTAGTAGTAGTAGTAGTAGTAGTAGTAAAGTATGGTATTTGTATAGATTTCATTGATTTAGATAATTAAAATACATAATGTTATTGATAATTTGCAGTGCAAGTGATATCATCAACATTCTCTGGGGGTGTGATGTTAACTGAAGGCACTACTCTGGCAGAAACTCTAGTGGACATTAATCTGAAGTTTGTTTTAACACAGCGGGTTTCCAAAGAGCCACTGGGGAGGTGCGACACACATGTAAATAAAAACAAAGGTCCACACACACAGCAGTATTGATATCGGTAATTGTGTGTGCGTGAATTAGCTGTAAAGTGATGTCACCATTCTGACAACCTAGTCATAGTCTGGAGCGTCACCTTTATTGCCTCATATATGCTGCGTGGACCGCGCCTCCACTTGTATACCTCAGAACTAAAACCAGGACTAAAATCAGGAGTAAAACCAGGGCTAATCCAAGTCTAAACCAGGGCTAAACCTTGCCACGCAAACCGCAACTCCTCCCATACGCCGTGCGCACCACGCCTCCTTCCATGCACCGTGCACATCGTCTCCTATGCTGCCAGTCTGAGAAAATATGGTCTCGAAAAGAGCGCCGCCACAACTTAATAATTACCTTGTGTGTCAGAATTGCAGAATGTTGCAAAAAAAGCTAAAATGTCACCACTCTGACAGTTAGACATCAATGTTGGAGTGGCGGTATGTGAGGATGGCAATATTAAAAAAATATATTATCAGTTGTTATTGAAACTCACCATTGCCAGGAACAAAAGATGCATTTACTTCAAAGGCCTGTATGGGATAGGGCAGGTGGATGGGATTATGGGGAAGGGGGGGCTCGTCTGTCTTGACCTATTCTAAAGGAAGGCTCACCCCATTTTAATACAATCTGACCATATAGAGCTGATTTAGCACTACAACAGGTGAGAAAAGTTTTGAGACCATCTTAAAATGTTTTTGACAGTGTTTGCTAATGTGTGCACTGTGCATTGTATCACCATAGGCATACATGTAGAACACCCCCAGCATGATTTCACTGCAAAGCATCAATTAAAATTCACAGAAACATAGCATGTCTTCTTGTTTTACTCTACTGTTGAAACCACATCATGGACACCACACTGAATCAGTAACACTCTGGCATGTGCATGTTAGATATGACCACACTTCTCTTTTCAAATCACACGCCATTTACTCAGATACACTAAATGTACACAGCAAATACACACAGAAGACAGGAGGCCTAGCAGCATCATTTTGTTACTAAGACATTTCACTATTAATGTACCAATCTGATGAAGTAAAAGATAAAGTAGTTGAGAATTCAACTATATGAAAAAATGCATATATATTTTGGTCAACTCATTTGAACTAAACAAGAGACCAGGAAAGGGTGGTTTGACAGTTTGAAAGGTGCACTATGTTTTTCTGGTCTGTCTCCATGGAGATATTATTTATTTGCCTGGAATGTTGCACAGTGAAGTATTAAATATATCTATTTTGCTTCAATTAATAAATTACAGTTGTTTTTATTGGATACCTTGAAATTCTTACAGAGAGAGTGAGAGCTGGGGTCAACTCTCCAAAGATCTGAATTGTAAATGTAAAGATACATTTAATCCCATACTGTGGAACTTTAAAGACTAAACACTCATAAATCCATGGCGACAAGCAGCTGACATACTCTTCACTAGAAAAGTTACACAGAGCACCTTTATATTTCCTACTCTATTACAAACAATACATAAATGAATGACACTTGTTATGCAGCACTGACAAATCCTCTTAGTGGTATTTGAACGTGAAGTTTGCCACCAGTTTCTTAAGAGCTACACTTGGTAAATGTCGACTAAATCTCCCACAGTCTCTGACAGAAAGGGCAGATGGCAGCGCTGTTACAAACCAAGAGGCTCCCTGCTCTTCTTTATAAGTGGATTAACATTATGGCACTGCTCTGATCAACATAATCCCTCATTTTCTAAAAGGGATTAACAGGAATTATCAGGAATTTGAAAAACATGGTTGGGAAGTTTTCCAGCAAATTTACAGTCAAACACAGAAAACCAAATGTCACTAAAAACCATGCATGTTAGTAAGGGTTACATCTAAAATCACAGCACAGGGTGAATATGGTGATAAAGATATGGTTATTTTGTTGTTACAAATTATACCATTTTATTTAAGATTCTTTAATCCCAAATACTTTCAAATTGTAACCTGGCCATGCTATTTGTGAGTTCACAAACCTACGAGGAGCCGTCTGGCTCGACCACTGGTGTGATGGCCCGGTTAGCCAATCACAGAGCAGCATTGTGGTTTGGTCAGAGGCTAAAAGTGAAGTGACCAAACCAACCCAAACAAAGAGGTCATGCAGATAGACGTACTTTGGCCTATTTTAGCAGAAATACAGACTTTTGCTTTTGAAAGGGGGTAAGCGCTTGGTACATTTGTGGACAAGGAAGGGCTTCTCTTTTTTTACTGCGAACAACTCGAATGCTGATTTACTCTTAATTACAAAAGCAGAGATTATGATGTTATATTTATTTATGATATAATTCTGTGTATTGGTTAAAGATGATGATCCAATGAGATTACAGAATAAGTCTCTCATTTGGGTTGCCAAAATGCTGAAATCCAAGTGGTTCAAACTTAAAAAGCCTCTCTATGAGCTAAATGGTCACTACCTAAACCCCAGGACCGGCAGCCAATCATTAACCAGTGCTAGTGGAGCCTCTACAGCTCAGTGGGTGAATGTGAGGCATGTGTATGTATCTGCAGGTTAAGGCACTGGCAACTCAGGTTCAGTTGTGATTGTACTACCTTTTTTTAAAACAATAAGAGTGCAGGTTACATACAGTTCCTATTGATTTCTCGGCTTATTCCACTGTCAAAGTAGCCAGTCAGATTGAACTTAATTTTGACAGTGTAATTCACAAATGACATTACTGAAATACATTTTTGTTCATGTTCGTGCAGCTCAACATGTTAGTATAAAAACTTTGGTTAGTCGTCACTCATCAAAGCCTGTACTGTACCATCCACTGTTCAATATCTCCCCATTTGCTGTCCTGACGATCGTCTGCTTTGGGGCTCAGGCCATAATATTTCTGATGGAGGGAGAGGATTAGGCAAAGACAGATGAGATATAAGAGGTATGCAACTGAAAATGAAAAGGGAAACTTAAAAAACAGTGGTTCTCAAACACTGCTATTGGTTCTACAAGTGATCTGACATAGCTCATTTTTATGTTACTTCTTTCATCTGTAGCTCAGCTCAGCTATGCACTGAATGTGTTCTGATCCATCTGCACTGTAAATAATGCACTATATGATCTTTTACTCAATTCTCTCAGGATTACAGAGGGAATTACCTGAGGAAATCTGCAAACTTGTACTCAATGTTCATTTTGTAGGTATGGGATGAGACACAAATCCCAGTAGATGAGATAAGAGACAATATTGGGTCCATGAGACACAATTTAGACATAATTTGACACATTTTGTGTTTTTTCCTATTTGTTATTACTATTTATCAACATTTTACTTTCTGCATTATTGTCAGTAAAAGCAGTGTGTCCATGGCAAATTTTTTTATGTAATGTAATGTAATGTGTTTAATGTAACCTAACATTGGATAAAATTAAGCCATTATCACTTTCTCCAGAGAGACAAACTGACTTGATCTGGTCAAGATCTGGTCCCAAAACCAATCAGATGTATTATTTATATATTTTTAGGAAATGACATTTCTATATTTTGATACGTGCTATTAGTGGGGCCAATGGATCGGTAATTTCAAAGAGAGTTGGTTGGAGTCAAATGAGATCTTGTACACTGAAATCCATTAACACAATTCATTTTTTTCATTTATTTATGTCATTAATTGATGCCATGTTCTGCAAAATGGTTGACTGTGCACTATATTAGTATATTCATCAGTAATTTTCATTCAGCTATATCAAAGTTTGAGAACCACTGAGACACAAATAAAGGAAAAAGGAAACGGCCGTGTCCTACCTTTTGCACCTGAAAGATCTACACATCGAGAGGAAAGGAGAAACAAACGGAGGATGAAACATGGAAAACAGGAAAAGCATAAATCAACAAAAGTGAGTTTAAACCAAAATCAGGTTCATAGAGAGAGAGAAGAGGGAAAGAGAGAGAGTGGGACAGAGAGCGAGAAAGAGAGAGGACAGAAAGAATCAATCAGCCACAAAATTAACTTTAAGTCACAGTCGGTTCAGAGAGTGAAAGAGAAAAGGAGAAACAATGAGAAAGTGAGTGGAGAGTAAAGAGCTTGAGAAAGAGAGGGAAGGAAAGAGGATGTAGAAGATGGGAGGGTGAGAGATAGATGGATAAAAAGAAAAAGAAGAGAGAGAGTGAGATGGATTGATAAGGAGGGGGTGCAAGAGAACGAAGGAGAACAAGAGAGTGGGGTGGAAAGAGGAGGGGGCCCTGG